TTACCTTGGTCTTAACCATCCAGCAGAAAAGTATAAAAACTAAGTATAAGAAGTAAAGCCATGCTGTTATATTGAGCTGTGGGGGACTCAGGTCATCAGTTTGTGACATTGCCAGTGAAGCGGCAGACCCAATACTATTGTGGGCTGCTGGACTGTTTTGGAATGTTTTGCTGAGTTTACACATGTATAATATTGAAATAACGGAACTTAAAGGTATACAGATGAGTGTCCATTTTGTATCTGTGTATTCAGAGAGGTTGATATATAGTTACATTCTCTTAATGAATAGAATGATTTGTTCTAATGGTGTTTGTAAAAGGGATCACAAGTCCGCATCTTGTACAGCAATTAACCACTAAGAAGAATGTATGCAGTGTATTAATTATTGAAACTGTCCTACCGATTTGATTTGAAACTGTCTCATTGCTATTTGTTTATCAATAAAATTAAGGCAAAAAAAGTAGTTTTTGATATTTACAAACTATTCTCCATTTTTCTTTTTTGTTACTTTTATACCTGTAAAGATCAAGGGAGGCCAGTGCTTGGGAGGCAGAAAACAGGAGAATCACTATGAGTCTGATCTACGTAGTGAGACTCTGTACACCCTGTAGACCATGTCCTAAATTCATTAAAAAAAATCAAGGGAGGAAGGGATTTTGGTTGGATATGTGTGGGGTGAAAGGGAAAGGGAAGAATTTATGAATAGAAAGTAGGAAAGTCTTCCTGTTGATTATATCCGGTTCATAAACTCGCAGAAACAATGCAAAACCAGTTTGTCAGTGTAAGACTGTATAGAAAGAAAAGTGATCATTAATATCCATATACAATTGCTCACGAACATAAACTTGCACAAATAGAAAAGTAGGAAAAATTAAACTTTTGTAAAGGCTTTCCTTTACAAGAAAAGTAGGGCAGAATGGGGAGACTTCTTAAGTGTCTGAGATGGTGAGGTAAGACTTGGGGGAGACTTTAGATTGGCAGTGAATGAGATACAGAGAGATTTAGTCCAATGAATTTTGTAACAGAAACACTTAATTTTAGAAATCCTATGAATAAACCCCTGATTAAGGGGAAACCTAATGTGAATTGTTACCAAGTTGTAGCATTTACGTTATCTTAATAATTTATATATAAAAGAATGAGATAGAAAAGAAAAAGACAAGTAATAAAAAGATGATCGAAGAGCCACAAGCATTTTACACAGAACTGTAGAAATGTGTGCACTTTCCTATACTCATGAACACATAACATACAAAGGGTTGTAGGCCAAAAAATCAAAATACTGAAAGCATACACAGACACAGCCCTCAAAAAAGAAATGTATAGGTCCTCTGTCTTCAAGGAGCCTTGTGTGTTCTCAGAATGCTATGGCAAGTGGCCTGTGGTCTTTCCCCCTGACAAATAGCAACCTCAGCAACTTCAGGTCCCCCAGTTTGATTCTGCCACAGGCTGTGGTATTTGATCCACTCCGTTCACTCCTGAGCTTCCCCTGCTTCCTATTTGTGGTTATGTCGCAGTTCCACTCTGGATTTTTCTGTACAGCAAATTCAGCAGTCCCCTGTAGTCAGGCAGGAGATAGCATCCCTGTACCTGCATGCTATTCTGATAGCTTTTCTGTGCCCCCCTTATTCCTTGTCACAACAGTACTCTGCATGTCAGATTCTTCTCTTGTCCCATCCTACCCAGCATCCTGTCCCTTGTCCCTTCTAAGTTCCCCTCCCTTCCCCCCTTCTCCACTTCATCTCTTATTTTTGAGACAGAGTCTCACTATGTAATGTAGGATTGCCTTGAACTCATGGTGATCCTTCTGCCTCAGCCTTCTGAATGCTGAGATTACAGGTGTGGGCCACCACTCCCCTTTCCAGTTGCAGTTATTCCTGGGGTGTTTAGTGGTTGCTGTGGGGCAGCAGGAAACAGTAGCCTCCATGGGAAGTTATCTGAATTTTTTTTTACCCTCAGTGATCCTGTGTCCCAGGTTTTTAGTTTCTCAAAAGATCTATTTCCACCCTGTGAATTTAGGGATGAGATATGCAGAAAAGACTCCTTGACTTGGAGTTAAGCAGTGGTTGGGGATTAGCAGGAGGGAACACACATAGGCCCAGAACTCTCTGGTATCTGTGAGGGTGGTGGGAGAGAAACTGCTCTGGCCATACTCCATGGCCTTCCTACACCCCTTGTTCTCACTGGTCACAGTTACTTGTACCCTGCCCCTGTGGTTCTCCCTGTGTCACAGATCCCTATGTCTGGTTCCTGCTTCCTGACTAGGATAGTGTACTTTGTTCCTCTCTATCCCTGAGACTCACTGGCCATAACTCAAAGTCCAAGTAATTCTCTGTCTTCCATTTTCCTTAGTGAGAAAATCTTGTCACTGTGTTCTGCGCCCCCTACAGGATAAGAGGTAGACATAGTGGTCACAGGGTGGCAGCTCCTAGGCTGGGCACTGATCAATAGCCTGGTGGTCACTGTGTTCAACTTGTCACAGGTGGATTTGACCTTTCCCAAGATGGCATGTTGGCAAGCTGTGGGCTGTAAGCAGTACTGGGATGAGCAGTGACTCTGTATCTTATTTAGAACACCCCAGTTACTAGATTTCATCTGGTAGGTTTCCCCTTCAAGTTACCTACCCATGGTTGCACTTTCTTCATGTACCTATCCCTACTGCAACCCATGTCCACATCCAAGTTCCTGCAAAACTTGGTGTCTTCTAACATCTTGTGAGCACTTCTCCCTATAGCCCACCATGATGCTGAGTCACTAGATCCATTTGGGTTTTTAGTACAGGATGAGAGATAAGAACATATTTTCATTATTTGCATGTGAATGTCCAGTTTGTCTCGTCAGTGGTATGTGTGTGTGTGTGTGTGTGTGTGTGTGTGTGTGTGTATGTATGTATATGTGTATGTGTATGTGTGAATGTGGGTGTTTCCATCTTTTTGAGACTGGGTCTTGCTGTGCAGTTGAGGCTGGGTTTGAGCTCATTTTGTTGCCCAGGCTGGTCTCAAACTCACAAGGATCTTCCTGCCTCAGTCTCATTAGTGCTGGGATTACAGAAGTATCCCTCCTCACCTAGCTTGTCTCATACAGTTTCTTTAGGGCACTATCTTTTCTCAAGCATATGTTTTTGGCCTCTTTGTAAAAAATCAGATGGCTCTAGTTCTCTGCAATTTTTTTTGTGTCTTTTGTTCTAGTGCATTGGTTTGTATTTCTGTGTTTGTGTGAGTACTGTGCTGTTGTTATAGTTTGAAGTCCAGTGTAGTGCTGAATAGCATTGTACCTGTTGTTCAGGAGGGGTGTGTGTGTGTGTGTCTCTCTCTCT